TAGCCTTCCCTCTTAAAGTATTATGTTGAAAAATACAGATAGAACAAGTGACCAATAATTTTTAAATATATAAGGGATATAAGAATGGCCGCTGATAAATCTGGGAACATTTGGGTTACCTAAGATGAAGAAATTTAGGCTGCGCGATGTGTCTGACCCACACTCAAATTTGGGGGCTCAAAACTCCGAACTTGGTTAATCCATGTTACCAACAACTATACCATGCAAGAAAAGCCGATATCCCCCACACAAAATTTCAACTCCCATCATAAACAGTCCAACATTACAGTAGCTAAGAAAAATGTAAGTTCAACATCAAATCGTTACTCTTATGATTTTTAGTCATGTAAATTTTACCCAAATTGCAGGTTTGTCCACTATAGTAGGAAACATGGATAATTTGCACAACGGGCAAAGCCCGTTTTGCATCAATTATCCTATGTTTCCCACCATCGTTATGTCACCAGCATGCCATACTATCTAGACTGTGAATCCTTATATTTTCATTTCACTGTGAAAAAAAATTGTAGATTTCTAAAAATGAAGACATAAATTTTAATTACACAAGGACTCCCATGCCAATTTCTATAGTCTTCGACACTGACGTCAAACTAAAAGTCAGCTGCACGAGATTTACGGGGCATATTTGACCTCTTAAGGGTAGCCACAGAGAAAATAACACGGGATTTGCAGGCTTATCAGGCCTCCTTAGCTGCTGACCTATTGATCAGCCTAATTTACATTCCGGTAGATTTATCAAGAATTCAACTCTGCTAACTTTCAAAGAGTTATCACATAGAAAGAAAATTAGAAATGGAAATATTAAATGTAGTATCACATGTAAGACCAATTACTAAATGTAATATTACATGAAAGACAAATTACTAAAAGTAATATTAAATGAAAGACCATAACTAAAAGTATTATTACACAGAAGACCAATTACGAAATGTAATATAACATGAAAGAAAAATTACTAAATGTAATATCACATGAAGGCCAATTACTCAGTGAAATATGATATGCAAGACCAATTACCAAATGAAAAATAGTGTATACATTATAAGATTCAAGTCATGAACCAGGGTTAAGCAAAGAAAATCTAAAAACAAAATACCTATACTCTTTAACACAATTCTTCTGAAATAATTTAGGCATAGTTTCACATTGTATATCATTACACTAAGTAAAATGTAGTGATAACTACAATTATATACCTGAAAATTCTTTAACTCTGACGGTTCTGTTCTCTGCACTACAGGATCAGACAGGTAAGTAAAAACTCATGTTCTGTAATGTCCTAACTGATGTATTATCAAACAAAACCTTTATTATATGGGCCCTGTTCTGTTACCGGGCTCCGGAACACATTTTATTGCCTCGTCAGATGAAACCTTCATTTTCCTAAAAGTTGTCAAAGTATGAAGAGTATTTTTAACAATTTTAATTCACAACGTATATGATGATTTATTCAAAATATGTTTTAGTATCATTTGTAGAAACATACACAGAACATAGTTTAGTGTTGGAAAAATCGTCTTTTATTTCGATTCGAAGGTTCCTATTTCCTATTAATAAATTTCTTCCTGTTAAGGTGATGGATCTTCCCACAGATTGTAAGACTTCAGCAGGAGACAGACCTAATAGTTGTGGATCCTATCAAAATATTATCAACATAAAATGATATAAACTATTTTACGAAGGACATAAAATATAGGGTTATGTAAAGATATTAGTTCTCCAATATGTTTACGAAGACTGAGCGTAATTAACTTTATCGCATTATGCAGTTTTGAAGCAATAAAACGTTTGTATGAAAATTCAGTGAAATGTGAACGAAATGTAATATAATACTTTATTGATACATGTACCTTATAAATAAACTTTGCTGAACTGACTCCAAGCTGTCCGTTGACACTTAGAATTATTGGTCCAGAAGAAACAATGCTTGGTCCCGTAACACAATGTACACTACATAATTAAACAAATGGTTATGCATATATCTTAACCTTTCATTCATTAAGTCAAATTGAATTCAATACATTCTTAAAACGTACATATTTAAAGAATGACAGCATTTTAGAACCGAATCGATCGAAAACAGATTCGTACAACTTACATGCGATCCGATACAGAAATGTCTGAGCATAAAACACCAGCCACAGTGATATTATCAATTTGTTCTCTTGACACCCCAATATGTTCCCGATGATTGTTATGTGGGTACCACCATCAATCGACCATCGTTGGATGAATCTGTCTAAGCAATCATTAAATCACATATTGTTCAAATAATAATTTTGCATGGTAACTCAATGGAACAAAGACAGTGAACTGATTTCTTTATAACCAAAACATATCACCTCAAGAAAATGACAACTTGACCTGACTTTAAAATATGATATAGCACTAAAGACATGACACGCTTTTATGATCAAGAGAAAGGCTTGTAATATTTTTCGAGGGTTTAAATTCCTTAATTCTTGTAATCAGAATAAAAAAAGCTTAATTTCTTACATTGTTTACAATTGGTACTGGACATATTGATTCTGAACAGTTGTTTAGACTGTAGACACATTGATGACCGCACCATTTACAATTCATTGCAGGATTACTGAGCTCCAGATTCTTACAGAAGGTACAGTCTCCAAGGGCTTGGTCAGGACAGCTGTACAAAGTCACTGAAATATGTATTGAAATGTTCGTTAAAGCAGAGCTGAAGCAGTAGACATATGCAACAATAGTGAAGCAATTAAAGGTGGTCTTACATGTATTTGCCTCATCACCTGGATACGGGGTCTCGTTTAAAGTCATCATTTCGTATGTTCTAAGGTCGATACAAAGATCTTGTCAACAAATACAATTTATTGTTGGGTCAGATGATGGCTTACATTTTTCATATTGATCGTTAGTCTATTATTTTTACACTGAATTGACGACGGATTTTCCCGTTATTTCCCGATATATAGTGACAAGGAACAAACGGCGGTTGTGACCGGTCGGCATAGGATTTTATTTTATGTTGAGAGACTTACATGGAAAAGTACAGTATTTGAGTAAAACAAATAAGTAAAGAACATGTACCTTAATCGTCATTAAAAAATGTCGACATTTAGAAAATCATTGTTTTTGGTTTTTTAAAAAAAATTCTAAATATGTACAGGTACCTGTTAAATGACTAGTTTCAATGTTAAATTCTTGTTCTGTCCACAAAACTTTCATGATTGCCTTATATGAGCCTTTGGGTAAAACGTCTTTAATCTGAAATGACAAATGACAAAATGAGTGTATATATAAAGAAGTATTGCATAAAATACATTTTAATTTTGATATTTACTGCTTTTTAAAAAATATATATCTAGTGTATATATTAACATTCTATATTTATATCTGGTGTATATATATCTAGTGTTTATATAACTACTAAGCACCTAAACCCATCAATGGAATTTTTTTTGAACCTATGTTTAAGCTTTCTTTTAGGTTGCATATTGTTTAATTTTTGAAATATTATTCATCTTTTATTTCCTTAACGTTTTCACTTTAGAAGCTGAGTTCTAAACCAAACTAACATACAGCACCCACCACTTTTGATAATGCGCTTCCTATATGAAACCTACCTTACCGATGTGAAAAAATAACTGAGTACTTGATTTTCTTCTGCCTTTTACTTTCAGTGTCCTTTTTGGTAACTTTAGATGACCTCTTTATTCGTCCTACGAAAATACACAGTTTATATTTAAAGGCAATAAAGTATTGGAATGTATTATAATGTATTATAATTAGAGAAACTATTCTCGCGGAGGCCTGATTTAGACATTCTGGGATATACAAAAAATACATAGCATTTAGCAAGTCTCCTATTCACACAGTACTCGTGAAATAACGTTCTGTAGAACTAAAAATATTTTTTTTATAAAAGAAAAATGAAACAGATGCCATTGTAATATACTGTAAATGTATTACATTTAGCTGTGTATTAATTTTAGCGCCTTTCGCGGTAAGAAACTTTCAGCTAAATCGAGTTCAAAGCTGAAATTTCTTGCACATATATTCATAAGTAAGAACATTAAGAAATGCGCCATATCAGGCATACGTGTTTAGAAATCAATTTCCGCCAAATATCGAACACGCTAAATATAATACATCTACAGTAATTGCTTTTATTAGTCTTGAACTTTGAGCGCTGTCCAATAATCATTAAGGACAGATGATACAAACAAACTTTTGTCCAACATTTTGAAAATAACAACTTGGTCCATGTTTAAATAAATAAAATGAATAAGTTTCACCATGTGGTTTTTAATTTTTTTATTCAAAGTTACACAAACATGGAATTCGAAGCGAAAATATTTGTATAGAATAATGAGGATGGTTTCAGAAGGGTAGAATTTTAAACATCACAAAACGTTTACAACTTCTTCATATTCTATAAATTTATTATTTGCATAATGTGCAATGAAATTAGGTAAAAAAAAATATATACTAATCCGGGCATCAGTTTTTTGTTTGTATCATTCGTCCTTAAGAAAAAAAAATTCTATGTTAAAAATATATGATTTCAAGAACTTACTGGTTCTGGGAAATTCTTTCCTTGAATGACGATTGTTTTAATTTGATCCTGTTCTATCAATAAGGGACCGGTCTGAATTGTGTCCACCATTGGACAAAAAGATTTTCCTCCTTTGCTATCATAAGCCTTAAAACCATTGAGTAAATGTAACAAACGTGTATCTTATATCGTATGGCATTCATCATAATGAATATTTTTTTAGTTATAACGGAAGAAAATTTTGAACACAGTTGTGTGAGAGGGAACAATACAAATGCATCGTGTTTGCTACAATGATTGAGGTGAGTTTAGTCTATACACATGTATTTACTTATAATTATACACACATATTGGCTGATACAAAACTCCAAAAATCCCCGAAAGCCATTTGTATAAATCAAAATCAGTTTATCTGTGCTTTTTCAATTTATAAATTAGGATAAAGGAAGAGTTGTGCTGTATATGGATTTAAAATAGTGAAATTCCAATATCATCGATCAGGCTTGGTTACTAAGAGAGAAGCTGTCCAAGCTTTTAATGAGTTAAATGCAAATGTTGTTTTGAATGGAGGTTGTGGTTCTTATAGTACTGCCAGTAACCAAAGCAGACATAAAATTAAATTAAATCTTTAAAAAAAATCAAATTAGGAGATTAGGAAACATGAAGAAATAAACATATGCAAAACATCGGGAAAATACTAGTAGTGTCAAAATTGAACTTTGCGTGCGTTTTAGCTATAGGTGACCGATTATCCAATAGACCACTTATATACTTTAAGTTTCAGTGATCCTTGCAATCTTTTTGTTAAAAGAGTGAATGAAAGGGGGGAAAGTGATGATTGCTACTATAGAAGAAACAAATGAAAGGAGAGAAACAAAAAAACTATAGCTGTAGTGAAAATTACCCCTCTATATATTTTGCGTAGGTTTGTTGATAAGTATCCTGAAAGAAGGTAAATTTATCTTTTATTTGCAATGTAAAAAAATCATGTTCTTGTTTACAATTTTTAAAAATTTTCAGTGTGACCTTTTGCAGTTCCAAGGATTGACCAGAAAAGAATATTCATTTTTAATCGCAATTAATGCAGTACTTACATATAGCCAGCACTTTAATTGTTTGAAGAAACATTGACAAACAATTACTGGAGATGAAACATATTGATATAACGAACAGTATTCAAGACTAAAAGTCCATTAAACAATACAAAATAGGAGCAGAGCAAATACGGACTTCCAAAACATCGGAGGTAAAAGTGCCATGGAAGAGTGAGCATTCCCTGCTGAGCGGCCACACCGCCGTGCGCTCCTCGTCATGATCGGGAGTTAACGGAAAATCTGTCGTCAATTCAGTGTATAAATTATGGAGTAGCAATTGGAGTAACAATTAGTATGAAAAATGTAAGTCAGTATTTGACTCAATGATGAAATGTATTTGTTGACAAGGTCGACGATATAACTTACAAAATGATGACTTTAACGAGACTGCTTATATTCATGTTTCATCAATTTGGATGTCATAATTTATATCTTTTTAGAAATTGTTTAAACGTAGAGCTTGCTCTTGCTTTATCAAATCAACTGATATACATATATATAAACTCCGTATGCATGTGATGAACGTATATTAGTAAAACTAATACTTGCTTTTCGACTTTTTACTTTCTCCCCAGAACACTGATCTGTCTTGTACTGACACTTGTTTTCAGTTAAACACCAGACGCACCAATAAACGTTGTCCACACATCTAGTACAACTGAGAAAAATTAAAGTCAAAGTCTCTAATTATTCTTTTGCATAAATTGAACGAACAACATTATTTGCTATTTTTAAGATTTTGATAATCATTTTCAAATTTTAAATATTCCTGTTTTTTTTTTTCATTTACTTTGTGAAGCTACTGCAGTTGTAGATAAGATAAGGTGTTGACACAATCAACTGTTCTGTCTCAATAGATAAAACACCCAGGCTTATGTTGATAAATCCTGCCGAAATGAAATTAACAGATTATTCTACTTGTATTAAAATACATGTAAGTACCAATATTAAGTTTTCTCTAACAATATAATTAAATTTACCGAAACATATAGATATGTTTAATCTCGAAAAAAGAAATGGTGAATTGGGACCTGTTCATTGACATTTTTGTGGATTAACGGTGATTCGTTCTTTATTTCTAATATTTATGGTGTTATATATTAGATTATGTTCTTACCCAGGCTGCTGTAAAAGTCCAGTGTTAGATTTTCAACATTAGGGTTTCTACACTCAATACCAAAGCTCCACTGAACAGCTGGGGATAATATCTGATCTCCGTTAGGAAAGCTAAACACACAGTTGTAGGAGATATTGTCATCTCGGGGCAAATCTTTGATTGTTAGATTCAACTAAAAAAAGTAAAACAAACTTATTTATAGAGCTAGTAAATTTAATCTATTAAAATGTGTTTGCAGTTATTTTTCTCGTGTTTGATGTAGATAATTGTTTCTGTCATTAAATGGTCATTACAAACTAGTATTATAAAGTGTCGTAGAAATTAGAGAGAATTTCCCCTTAAGCATTTATTTACTCCTCTTTAAGAGGATTGAAAAATGTCTTAAAAAGCAAACCAGTAACAATGAGTACATTATTAATTTTGGAAAAAGAAAATACTCTCATAAGTTCTTTTTTCCAACTTTTTTTACAAAAAAGTGCTTATTGAAAAAATAAGATGATTTCCAGTAAAGCATAGCACCATGTTGAATCTTTTTGAAGAAATCATTATGAGGTGAAACAAATCATCAGTGATGATAAAAAATAATCAGTACCATAATATAAAAATCTACATAAACACATTAAAAGTAGCATGGACTTCTTATGCGGAGTTCAAAAAGCAACACTGAGAAACAGATGAAAAGGACGTTTAATGTCTAAAATAAGATCCTTCCGGCGGAGTCTGGATTCCATTGGGCATTTAAATTCAACTTACTAGTGAAAAAGCATACAATTACAAAACATCAGTTATAGGGAAAAACTATCTAATGATACGTTACACAAAACAGAATAAAACACATATATACTTTATGCAAACAGTAAATTTGAGATTCAATATAGAAGTCAGTTCTTACGGTGATGTTTTGTGAGACATGGAACATTGGTGGGGGGGCATTAAGGATTTCGATACATCTGTCTTCTTGCTCTGGAGCGTTAGCGTACAACCATCGAATAGGAGTAGGATTGTAACACTCAATTTTTAATGAACACCTGAAAGAAAGGAAACTTTTGATATCAAGAAAATATATAGTAATTATACATTTGAAAAAAGATGTTTATCTTTAGCATATAATCATGCATGTACAAATAATTAAGATAATTCACGCTTTTCAAGATAATCTTACTATGAACAAAAACAAAAGTTGAAAGGGGAAGAAAAGAAAAAGTTCTATATGCAATATAACTTTTTGCAAAAATAGCAGATTATCCCAATATTTTGTACATACGTGTTGCCAAAGACACACCAACCACAATAAGGGTCATTACTTAACAGACACACCCTGCATGTTGTGAATTTGGAACAATTCTGAACTGGAAACTTGGCCACCTGAATTAGTTTACTGTTCAGTAATATTTTATAATTTCAAAAATAAATATTATTGGTGTAAGTACAATGTCTTTATTGTAAAATGCATTTTGTTGAGGAGGGATTCAATTGTAGAGATACACCTTCTATAGAAAAAAGCATAAGTATTGAAAATAAAATATTTTTGGCTCCTAAAGCATACAAATTCCTTCGGAAACCTTCTCCATTTCCGAATTCCCTTTTCATAGTTATAATTAATGTAATACTTACAGTAAATCAGCAACCCATTCTTACTTTTCTGTCACTCATGGCGTAAAGATACATCTGAGAATCATCAAACACCATATCCTGCTTTATAGTATGACCCTCGTCCACTACAATGGGAGAATCATACAGCTCTGCTTTGCAAGAGGTTTTCAGAACCACCTGCCAAAAAAAAAGCATTAAATAACCTGACGCGATAATTCTAACATATGTTTTTGTAATAGGTAATTTATTCTGTAGGGACTTTCGTTAAGTTAACCTACGGATTTTTCAACGCATTGACTGTAAATGTGTTTGAGGAATAAATGTTGAATTCATGAAATGATTGAGAAAGTGCTTGCTTTTTTTTTAGTATTTTTGAAGCATTTTAAAGTCTCTTTTTATTATTAATACTTCCATGATGGATATCAAAATAATCGCCTCATTATTCACTATGAACAATCTTTATCAGTCAAAAGATTTTTTGACACATTTATTTTGTTTTGATTGAAATAATCGGTTCTCATACTAAAAGAAAATATTTCTAAATGCTGCAGAAAGGACACAGTCGCTCTGCCACAATATAAACTAGGTATATTGGTCAATGAAAAAGACAATATGTGTCATGAGTGTGTACCCTGAGACACTAGTAAACTTTCAATGACTTGAAGTTGTTTTAGAAGCGTGTTAGGGTTTTGAAAACAGATTCTGTTTCAATCAAAACAAAACAAAATAAAAGTATCAAAAACGCAATTGATGAATGAAGAGTGTGCACAATGAGAAGATTATTTTGATATCAATCATGAACGTAAATTTATTGAAAGTCTTTTTGATATACTTTGTTGCATATTTTAAGATTAAACTGATTATATAAAATAAAACTAAAAACACTAAATTTTGGGGGATATGAATTATTGATTTATTTGTTGTATTTTAATTTCAAAAATTAATAAATTGATATTCATTTATTAATTAATTCATTTTATTTGTTCGTTTATTTATCTATTTTTTATTTATTTGTTTAATCATTTATTGATCTATTTATTTATCTATTTATATTTATTCATTTGTGGATATATATTTTATTAATATAATTATTAAATAAATCTAGATGCTGTCAAGAGACAGAAATACGCGCACTAAGGTTTTTGCCTCTAAATCCACAATCCTTCAAATCGGGCTTTCCAAGGAAAAGGTCAAAATAATTCTATAATTTACGCAGTACATACGCATGTGTTCGTCAAATCGAGCATAACATTCTCAGGTGACCACTGAGCCTCATATATATACATTTCATATACTGTAAATTCCATATTTTTCGCGAGTACTTTTAATCGCGTATGGACTCTTTAACGTCAAATCGCGAGAATAATTCGCGAAAGAACAATTACTAAAGGGATTTAACATAGTTTTAAGCACCATAAAAATAAGGGCGAGTAATTTTATTTCGCGTGTTGTGATTCTCGCTATAAATAATTCCAAGCGTATATTGAGGAATCCACAGTACTTAATTCAGTACCAGTCTGAAATAAAAAAAAATTTAAATTTAAAGAAGTAAATAAGGTTTTGCTCATAATATTGGAACTTTTTAAATTTATTTTCTCAATAACAAATATTTTTTTTTTATTTTAGTACAAAGCGTTTTTTGCAGAATTTATCAAAATGTGCAAACTCTTTTTAGCATTTGATCAGGCCAAAAAAAAAAAACAACCTTAAAAATCAAACATAATCAATTTTTTAACACCCCCAACTACTCACACACACACTCACACACACACCCCCCAACCCCACCCCCCCCACCCACACACACCCCACACACCCCCTCCCACACACACACCCCCTCACACACATACATATTTTCTGAAATAGGCCTCTCCCGGGAAAGTTGTGTTAAAACATTATTTGTTATGATGAATTAAAAAATTTTTTTTTTGTACTTTTTAATGCATGTTAACACCTTTTTGAAAATTTCTACATCAAAATGGTATGGCGTCATCCCTTATCATTTTTAGGAGCACAACTCTCCCACCTTGGGCCCAATTCCCTTTTTATCTGATGAAGGCCACGGAACCCGTCAAGGTTTGCCGAATGGAATAGCACATGCTGATTGTGCAATTTGGTTTGTGATCAAGGTCACTTGTGTTTTTAAATTTGGGTTATATTTCATGAAGTTGACAGGGCCTAAAAACAGTCGTCAAGTACAAGTTTAAGTATAGATTAGTGTAAAATAAACCAAATGCAAAAAAATTAGGTTAAAAATTCAAAAAAAGGGGCAAAAATAATCGCCTTCCACAGTGGACAAATTTCACATTGTGAAGTTATCTCTCCCCTTGTCGTCGTGACATTTAGTTACAGACGCAGATCCAGATTTTTTTTTCGGAAGGGGGGAGGGGGTTCACACCTACGTCAAAAAATCCAGCCAAGAATTTCCTGAGAAGCATAGAAAAAACAAATAAACAAAATAAAAACAATGATGGTGGGGTTTATGTTTTTTAGGGGGAGAGGACGTCAAAAGTCATTTTTATTTGTTCAGTATGTCGTCCTATTTAAATAACTTTGCAAATTACAGAGGGGGGGGGTCCTGATCTCCCTAGCCACTCCTGTCTCATAAATGACAAATGATCTTGTGACTCAAAAAGTAAAGTAAATATTTCCTTTGACTCTACATATTTTAATTTTTTCTTATGTTTTATATTATGTCTGATTTCTTCAAGTTGGCTTACCATAGGCTCCACATTCAAGGGAAATTTGAACAAGATTCATGGGTTTTTATTTTAGAATTTATTTTGCCCTGTTGACATTTTAAAAATTGAAAAGTACCAAATTTAAACTGCCCAAGTTTCTGAAATTTCAATTCAGAAAAATTAATTATTGTTTTCACAGTAATATTTTTAAATGTCTAATTTGACTAAATAAACATTTAATTTTCGATATAACTTTTAAACAGTGAGAAGATCAGGGATTTCACTAACTTTAATTCAATTGTATATCCTAGTGCAAGACTTTTTTTGTAAATTTTGACTTTCCACAAATATACATTTGAAAAATTGAACTTGCATGCAAAACTGCTGTGGACATCATGTTTCAAAAACATCTGTTGTTTAAATGGGCCATATTAGGGTTTTTCGTGTTGCAAATAACAAATCTATCACAGTATACATGTTTATATTTATTCAGACATATAAACTTCATGCAATAATCTTCCATTTTTGATCAGCATATTTATAAATATTTTAAAATATTCTAAAATTTTGTTGTCAATAATGCTAAGTTAGGGCTTAATTAGTTAAAAGCTAGCTTCTTCATTGTGACTAAGACCTTTTATTTGGGTACCACCTATTTTGTACATTTGATCTCTTGACCTTCAATTTGACCCACTTTTACAAGAGAAAATACAAACTTTAAACTTGTCCTAAGTTTTGACGTTGTGCTAGGGCTTTCATGCTAAAAAGTTTATTCATTGTGAAATTCCAACAAGTAAATTTTTTTTTACCTTTACCTAGAGTTTAAACCCCCTAAGAAAATTAACCTTGGCAATAATTTTTTAACAGGTGGGAATACTAGGATTTCTCTCTTTTTTCACAGGGGTATTCCTTGTACAAGATTTTTCCTTTTGATACCCAAAAATTTTGACCTTTGACCTAAACCCTTGAGTTTGACTTACATTGAGAAACTTCAACGCACTATAGGGGGGATCAGTGTTTCACAAACACATCTTTTCTTCGTTCTTTTTAGGTGGAGGTTTCTCCATATCAGTGAAAATTCCCGAGAGATGTTTTAATAACAATTAAACAAATTACTAAAAAGAAACACACAGATATGCATGTTCAAATTTTATATTCAACAGATATAATTCTGGTCATATCTCTACAGTGTAGTTCTCCTTGAATCAGACATGATGATATAAATATTTTAAAAATAGGTATTATAAGATTTGAAAAGGTTGTGCATTTTAAAACTGACTAAGCTCTGCGGTTGAATTAGCTATACCAGTTCATCTTTATTTGGCTACTCAAAGCACTTTGATTAACTATTTTCAATCATACTGTTTTTGAAATGCGCAGCTTTTTCAACCTGTTACAGTATCGACCGCACACAACCTAGCAGAGAGAGAAAACGGAGCTCACCGGGTACGCTCTCTGGGTGCACTTCGGGCTGACCGCGCAGCGACCGGAAGCGCAACCAAAGCGAACCTGCAGTGGACCCCTGAGCCGAACCTGGAATCGGACCCGAAAGAGCTAACCCCAAATTCAGAAGCTTTCCATTGAGAGAAGGCCCGTTCGATATTTCTTTAGAGCTGTCATTCAGGATAAGTGATTAACCAATCAGCGCGTCAACCAATCAAAATAGCACATTGATAAGTCGACTGGGATAAAAGATCTAATTTGTTGATTTAATTCGATATAAATCAAAACATTGTACATACAAGCAAAACGTGCGAATGTATTGTGTAAATCTATTATGCTAATTAAAATTTTATTTTATATTTATTTGTTTTAATTCTCCGGGTTGTTTTCATATTGATATTTTTTTCTTCTTTTTTTATTAAAGCAATTAATAAATTTTAATATATTTTAATTTTCAACGTAGAATGATACATGCATATTTACGTATTCAGTTTCTTTCGTTTTTTATACCAGTAGTTAAAGTCCATTTGGTAAAAAATCGGGTAAATACATCAGTCAATGCGTGAAAAAGGAAAACAATAACTGGTATTACAATTTTTTTCTTATCAAAAGAGGAGAAAAGGAAAATAGTTGGTCCTTGACAATTATTCTAAAATTTCATCATCTCAAGATACTAACAGTACAAGAATATTTACGTGCCCATTATTCAATTATTTATTTCCATTTTCTCAATTTACGTGTTCCTTAAAATTACTCAAAATTCACATCTAAATTATTGATCTTCTTAATTGGGCATAAAAAAGTTACATGTACATCTTCCTGTATATTTTTTTTTCTGAAAATGAAATAGCTGCAGCAGGCTTAAAGAAAACAATTCGAGTGCAGGATTGGGAGGACCACGCATAGAAGTTCAAGAAAAGTTGCCACGCTTTAGTATTAAAATCTAGTCTAATAGTGAGAATTTACAGTTATGATATCTCTCTCTCTCTCTCTCTCTCTCTCTTTTGATGTTTCCATATTTATTCAAATTTAAATGTTTGACATTTTTCAAGTAATTTTTGATTTCATTAATATGTGTGTTTGTGTGAAATAGGGAATATTGATTCTTATCGGACCGGGAGAACAATTATTATTTGTCATTTTTTTTTTTCATTCTATTAAACTCATACTCGATCCATAATTCTGAGCGTTAAAAAGATCTGATAATATTTTTTTTTTCTTTTTTAGAAAATGTCCGGTAAATATTTATTACGAATTTTTAAAGTGTAAGTAGTATAATTGAAATCTAAATATATCACGTGTACAAAACGTTACATGTAATTTATAGATGCGATGTCATAATTCACGTGTTTAAACTACAATTTAGCAAAAAATCTGCGGCGAATGTACAGCTGAATTTCGGAAAATTTATCATATTTTCCATAATGTCACTGTTTACATGTACGGTTCTGTTCGGGTTTGCTCTGGTGTTAGGTCGTGTTCGGTCGGCATGTAGATGTCATTCATGTTCAGCTTTTAAAAAAAAATGCATTAAAAAGCTTTTCAGAAACTGTAACCCTTTCCAAATACTTGTCAATCATATGTTTCAGCTCATCTGAGCTTTCTGACTTTCTTGATCACATTTTGTCTGTCGTCCGTCTGTTTGTCTGCAAACTCGTCCTAATTTCTAACTTCTTCTTCAGAACGACCCACACTTTCACCATTTATTCAAATACTGTATACAGGAAACTTTCGTCCCTCTTTTATTCTTCCCCTCCGCCTGACTCTCATTTGGGGGCGGATTTAAAGCGGGCCAATTGAAACAGATACAGTGGACCTTCAGATATCGTAATGCCATATCCGGATGCTTCAGTATCCGGACGATTTTTCATCGGAACGAAATTTTTAAATGCTGTGTTGTCTTGTTTATTTGGTGATTCAGATATCGGGATGCTTCACATATCCGGACAAATGGACTGGGAACCAAAGCGTCCGGATAAAAACGAGGGTCCACTGTAGTATAATTCCTTAAAAAACAAAACTATGAATGGGCGAATTTAAAACTGTGTAAAATTGTTTGCAAGCGTAAAGGGCTAAATAACACGGGCGAAAATAACCCTGTATACAGTATGCAGGGGATTTTTTAAATTGTAAATCTTCTTCTCAAGAACAGCAAAGACATTTATTGCCCCCCGATTTCCACGAAAGGTAGGGACATTTAATCTCATTTGTATCTCAGTCTGTCTGTCACAATAAATTTAACCTTGGTCATCCTGGTCATATCTTTTCTATGAGAAGAGACAGGACTTTCATATTAAACATGTCTATTGAGCATTTACCTGTCACAATACCATTCTAACAAGACGTCATGAGAGAATAATAACCGCATGAAGGTGATTGCCGCTAAATATACTTTATATTGCGCTTTCCAAAGAAAACATCATAAGATTCTTGCAATTATCACAGTATATGTAGTCGTCAAATTGAGCACAAAATTTTCAAGCGACCTCTTATATATATTTCGTATGATTATCCCCAGTTGAAATAACAGAATGAAATTGAATGATGTAAATTACATTCTGATACATATTTTGCCCGTGATTAAAACATTTCAGATTTACTTTCTCAACAACATGTAATATTATTTTAAAAACCAGTGTTTTTGATGAATTTATGAAAATTGTGCAAACTGTTATTTTAGTATTTGGTCATGCAAAAAAAAAACTCATTGAAAATACAACCCAACAAA